ATGATCCTCTCTAATGCCCGGGGCACGGCGCTCAAAGAACTGCAGGATGGGCTCCCAGCTTTTCCTGTCTCTGGGACTGCCTGTCCCAAAGTGAATGGGGGGGAAAATGGAAAGAAAATAAGAATTATTTTGTTTTGTTGAAGAGCCAGATAGGAAAGCCCATCAAGGCGAAAATAGTGACAAGTCAGCATTGTCCTGGCTGATCTCTATTTTCTCTCTGTCTCTCAGATCAGAGATTAATGACATATAAAAATGAGGGGCATGGCAGAGTAAAACGAAGTAACACTTGTTCCGTAGTACTTTTTATTGGAGTCTAGAAGCTAACTGACACTATCACTTACTCACGAACTCTTTGACAAAAGATGTCCTAGTAGCCCCTTTGACACAGGACCCTGTTAGGGAGTGCTCTGCATGCTGGAGGATGGCCTCACATGGTTCAGTAAGCCAACCAGTCTGTGGGTTATTAACACCCATGCAAATTCCTGTGGTTCCAGGGCCACTCTGGTAGCCAAGAAGATGCACAGGTTGGCCACTTAATCCATATGGGAGGGAGAGAGGGTGTGACTGTGGCTTCTGATGAGGTTTCTTTCATGTGCTACAGGTTGCTGAATGATAAACAACTGGAAACATGAATGCTGACACACAACTCTCATGTTCCAAAGCATTGGCCAAAAAGGAGAACCTGTCCCTGACTCGACTGATCTCATGTCTCCTGTGCTCCAGGTGAGTGCCGCAGCCCCAGGCTCAAGGACTGTTCTCATCTTCAGGTTGAAACTGGTAAGAGTGCTCTTGCACAGCAGGCAAAGAATTTAAGGAATCTGCCACAGGAAGCTGAAGGAATAAATAATACTGAATAGTTTAGAAAGTGATTAGTCTGATCATGAACCTGTTACTTATGAGTCTAATACTAAAGGGAATTGGTATGAATGTACCCTCTGAAACCATTGTTATGGCAGATGTGAGTGTGGATATAACAGGATAGGAGGGAAATTAACACCCCCATGTTCTCCCTAAGCAGCATCTTCTGCCGCTGTTGTTCAAGAACTGTCCTCAATGGACAGCTGGTCTGATATTTTAGGATGTTCCCTGTGTCTTTAAGGGTCTTCAGTGTTTGATTTGTTGGGAGGATGCTTTGTCTGGGTTACTGACTGGCAGCATGGTCTGTATCAGTCCAAACAGGCCAAGTGGGAGGCATGGGCTCTGCCTGCACTGCTTGGCAAAGGGAGATCTGCTGCACCCTCTGGGAGCCTGGGCAGAGCACCCTGTGGTTCCTGTCTGTTCCCTTGGCATGTGCTTCATTCCCCTGGGGACCAGAGCAGAGGTGAGATGGGTCTGTGAAAAGGTTCCTTCCTAGGTCTTGCTCCGATGTGTGCTTTTTGGTGTTCACCAGTTGTCTGTAGACTTATTAACACTTGGCTGTTGCAGTTCCTGTCATGTAGAAATCTCCAGCTCAGAAGAATCACTTTCTAGAGGCATGACCTTTGGAGGAAGGGTCAGGGGTCTGAGAGCCTCTCTGGAGTGTCATTAAGCCTTTCGGGAAGGGACCCTCGTGCTAGAAGAACTAGCACTGTGAGGAGCCTGTCTGTCCCCAGGGTTGTTGAAAACAAATCTCACTTTTCAGTGAAGAAACATTTTTCAAGAACTTCCACTGGAGCTGCTATCTCCTCACACAAATCACTTATTTTGTCAAAGTGGTGTTTTTGGAGATGAGCCCTGAGCTGAATGAAGTGTACTGCACACTGCCAGTACTGTACTTGTAGTTAAGGTTAAAATATTCTTGGGTTTTTTTACCTCTGAGTGTCAGAGGGTTTCTTACCCACCACTCAGGGAAAGCCACTGAAGTTGAGATATTCCCAGATGCTGGGGTAATGATTCCTGGGGCAGATAAAGCCTACCAGAGCCCTTCAGAGTGGACTAGAGGAGTGTTTTGTGAAGCATGAGCTGAAGTTGTTAATCTCCTGCTGATTTCTAAGCTGTGTAAATATAAACCTAAATGAATGGGCCTTGGTTTGGTTTCACTAGATCTGACATTAGACAGACCTTAATGGACAATGAAAGTAAAATAGTCTAAGTTGTATCCTCTACTGCAAAGGGAAAGGTGTCCTGTGTGGGAGAGGAGGGACCGCGGGAACCTTTGGAGCTGGGGGATGCAGTTCCTTCTGAAGAGATAGTAGAGGGGGTAGAGAGCAGAGACTATCTTGAGGTGCCATAGTCCCAACATAGGAAGTTATCAGTTAGCTTCTTAGCCCACCAGAAGATGGCCATAAACCCATGAATTTCAAAATCAAGACAGTTAACATTAGCACTTGAAGTTTTGCATCCTGGTAATGTACATACCTAAAGGGAGAGTGGAGAAATGGCATAGCTCAGACCCACTGAGATTGGGGTGGCCCAGGAACTTGCCTGGTGTCCCCTTTCCCCAGCTCTGGGTGTTTGATGTCCTGACTTGGGTTACAGAAACAGAGTACAAGTGGAAGCAGTCCTTGATGCATATCTGCAGGGTATTGATGGCATTGCTGTCACAACAACCTCATTCCAGCCATGCTCATAGTGTGCATGCCTTCCTCTTGGATTTTCAAAAAAGTATAAAACAAGTGCTGGTGTAGCATGATGGTTTGCCTGATTACTTAAGAGATCCACCCTGTGATGCAGTAAGACTTTTCTGGGAAGAAATGACATGAAAATTCCTTGTGGGAGCTGTGGCAACACTCTTTACCCAACATAGTTGTCCTAAAAATAGTGGGGCTTCACTCACCTACCTCTTGGGAACCTTCCACAAGAACAAATAAAGTAAAACCTCTTTAAAGAACTGGTATCATTGCTACAACTACAATCTGAAAGCATGACCCCATAGTGCCCTTCTGAGGCAAGAAAATACTCCCATGGTAAGCTATGCTTGCCAAAAAAAAATGGTTTGTGGTTACTCACTTGGCTTTTTATGGGTACATAAACATCTTGAAATTGGGATTGTAGTTTAGAAACTGGGGTAAGGAATAGCAGATTTGCTCAACAGAATGTGCCTAATGAATAAGCATTGAAGTCTAGTTTATGACTGTATGGAGACTTTAATAGTGTGATATGAAGGACATCAGTCCAATGTTTTTAGCCTGCATGAGAATTAGCTGCAGCCAATGAGTAAAGAAAAGGTCCTTTAAAGTTCTCCTTACTTCACCTCCTCTATTAAAGAAGTTTAAAAGGATAACCTCAGAAAGTAAAGGGATGAGATGACACCATGCATGAGGTAGTGGTAGCAGAACCCTAGGGACTGTCTAGTTTCAGTGGACCTAGAGATCTGTACACAGATATTGGAGTTTTCCACATGCTGTAATATCTTTCCAATCTTCTCAACAGATAATTCAGTAACAAAGAGGAACAGTCCCACTGCTGTAGCAAAAAGTGGTTTCATATCTCCTTGTTTTCGTTCTAGAGATTCCCCCGATTTACATACAGATGTCCCACTTCCTTTTCTTCAAAAAGTGAAGTCATCTTGCTAAAGGGCCAGGGCAGGGGCAGTGTTTTCTGCTAACCATCTGTTTGAGAGGATGTAATTTTTCATCCTTTGCTTTCAGGCACTGATGAGAGAAGGGAAGTGTAGTGAGCAAACATCTATTTGTATGATTTCATAGATAACCATGCCCTGGCAGCTGTTTGTTTGATGATGCCTTAATAGATTCTCTTCCACTTTGGTCTCTGCATGCAGAAATTTGCCTCTATATCCTGTCTGCAAAGATTAACTCAAAACGTGGGGAGACGTTGGTGTGCCTTTACAGTCCTCAGATGGCTGGACCATCACCAGGGAATGCTGAACTTCTTCCCCTCCTGGTGCATAGGACAGTGCTCTTGTATTTAACTACTGAACAAGTTTATTCTCATCAAATAAAGCAGGGAGAGAAGGGGGAAAGCTGGATGCTTTGCTGCTATGTTGATTGCTGAAGGAGAACAGGCACGCAGGCTGGTGCAGCAAACAACTTCAGGCTCTCGTTCTGGGAAATACTGAGTTGCCTTTTCTGGGGGCCACAGAGCTGCCCACCCAAACAGGCACTTGTTCAGCTCAGAAATGAAGTTCAGGGTGTGATTCCTACTTCTTAACCTCAGCTGCGCTGAAATATTTCCAAGCTCTTTGGAATGAACAGAGAAAGGGAGAAGGCTCCTGAAAGATAGTTGACTCATCTCATCTAGACTTTAGAATCCAGACTAATGGCTGACTTGCAGACTGCAGGTTGGAGCCACTCCTACAATTTTATCTGACACCCATGAACAAAATTCATTGCTGTGAAAAACAGAATTAATTTTTCCCTTCGATATTTTTAGAGAAAGAGCAGTTTATGGGGTTGGTCAAATGGATTCTATCGTGAGAATTAGGAATTTAGTTAAACCACATAAAATCCAATTTTCTGAATCACAAATGTTGTTCAAAAATTCTAAAGAAATCTCAAAACACAGCAAGGTTTTACTAGATAATCTTGTTGAGCAGAAAGAGGATAAATAGGAGTTTTTCATTCTAAAACAAGGTACATCATCTCTGGGGTGTACTGATTTATTTTTTGGGGGGGGCTGGAGGGGAATGTTGTCAGTGAGAGTTAGGTAGTCTTAAAAATGAAGGTGAGAATCAGCTATGTCTAGAGAAAAAAAAATCTAAATCTATGCAGAATTGAAAATTACAGTCCCAGTACTCAATCATATGCTATTGGATCAAAATTCTCTAATTAAAGCCGTCAAAATAAAGGCTCATGAAGATGTCTGAAACCTGTCCTCAGATGAATAGGGCATAATTTCACTGTTCTTGAAATGTTAGGATTATTAATTTTATGTGTGTGGATATACTGTATGTGATTAATAGCTTATATAAAAAAAACCCTACATGACTGAAAAAACTTGTATAACATGCAATACGCAGCACACTTCAACCACTTTGGCACAGGTAAATGTCTGCCCTTCCCAACTGTAAGTATGACCATTTGGTGGGTGTGTAGTAGAATAAAGAATGACTCAGGGATAAATCTGAATCAAATTAAATGTTTTTATTTTTTTGCTTTAAGGCACAAAGCACATTGTAAAGAACTATTTATAAACTCCATTGTCAAAGGCATCAAAGCTACTTTCTAAAAGAAATAGTTAAGTATAATAGAGCTAAACTTTATAACATGGTTTTTACAATTTCTCACATAAAATTAAGACATCTATATATACAGTACCAATAAATATGCAGCAAACATTTTCAGTACTTTTTTGACGTTTTAATATAAAACTCTACAATCAGTGAAAGAACATATCTTGATTTATGCAGGAATGAGAGCATCTGGAAGGTTAGTTTAGTTCATAATTCAGCAAAAATACCCCAAACAGTCCTGACTTATGGTGCTTAATAAACCAGGTTATAACTTCTTAGTCAATGTCTTCCATGCTGTCCCAAAGGATTTAAAAATAATACTTAAAAGACAAAATGAATTTGGAACTATCACTGTTGACAAACTTGCCTCCTATTTTTGCACTTTTGAAGGGAATCATACCTAGCTTTGGCACCAGGTCTCAAAAAGAAACTGAACGGGGGGGTCCTCATTTCCTTGGAGAACCTGTCAGAGAGTTGCTGAGTGTGTTAGAAAATAGGCCCGTTATTCAGCTGCCTGTCTGTGAGCTGAAATTGTTATAGCATAGGACCTTCCAGATCACTTCCACTTCACCTCAGCTTATGCTCCATCCTGCAAGATGCTTAGGAGACAGAGCCTCCATGCCCTGGCAGGGTGAACTCAAAGCTCTTCCCCAAAACAGGACATATTAAATATTGAAATTGTCCCCATGAACAAAGCCAGCAAGTAGCAGATCCAGCTGTGGTTGGGCATCTTGGCCAACAGATGAGAGCTGAGAAAGTTAAAATTTCTTGAGTAGTGTCCTACTCTGCAGGATGAATCTCATGGAGTAACAATTTCATCATATGAAAGTGAGGTTCTCCCTTTCCTCAAGATTTGTGTCCATGTATGTATTTGTTAGCACTAAACCCTATGGAGATTCTGTCCAGGCAGTAGCTGGGCAGTTTTATCCAGCCATCTGAGAAAGTGAGTGCAGCGCAGTCACCACTTTCACTGAGCGCTGCTAGTATCTTACTTGCATTTAGCTAGAAAAATATTATATACACGCCTTTGCAACTCTGGGGGTGAATCATCTCCATTATCCTCACCTTCCCTAGCATGCGCAGCCTTTGAGAAATGTGTATCTCTTCCCCCACCTCACCAGAGAGGGAGCCTAGAAATTTGTAGAGAATAGACACCTTCTGTATGATTAAAGGCAGGCGAAATGAAGCACAATGCTCATGTGGAGGGACTGTATGTGCCAGTGTATTTAGACCACAAAGAAGATGTTAACTCAAGCTATTACCCTGTATGTGCAAAGCACAGAGTAAAATGGCAATAAAACAGGTGAATTCTGCTTAGCTCAATTTAAAACAGAAAAATAATAATAAAATCATAATTTGCTTTTGCTATTCTTTTAAACATGAGGTAGCTATTGGATTTATAAAAAAACCCAAACCACGGACTGACAACATCTTTTTCATGTTACACAAGAAAGCAGTCTGATTCCTACTGTCTAACTAACTCTTGGCTGACCTACAGAGCCTGCTAACAAAGCATCTCAGGTATTTGCAAGTGGATGGAAACCAGGGTACACGTATGTCCTCCATCAGAGTTTTAGAGTGAAAACTTTCCTTGAGCCAGAACATAGAGCCCTTAACCAGAAAACACTTCTGAAGCAGTGTAAATATGATACTCTGGGTTCAATCCAGGAAAATAAAAGAAATTTTGGAAATACAAAATAATATGCCCAGTGGGAGAATGTTTCTCAGTTCTGCTAGTGGAAATAAAGAATTTGCACTCTTGGCAGCAGAGGAATTGAAGATAACACCGCCCATGATGAGAAATACGTATCCAGTGGATGCTGCTATTATGCTGAAAGTGTAAAGACAGCAAAGCTCAAGCTAGAACAGGGCAAAGCGTGCCCAGAGCTCTGCCACCTACAAACAAGACTTTGACCCTCATTTGGCCAAAATTTCCTAGCTGGGTTGTGCCTGGCAGGCAGGACCTGAGCAATTGGAAATGTTCAATTCCCAAGCTGCCAAGGTGTTCTTGTGCATGGCTGTGGACAGGGCAAACCTGCCTTTTTGGCCAGGTGATGCTACTGTGGTTCCTGCCTCCCCTGGGCGCGTAGTGGGGAGTACCAGCCCCTGAATCAGAGGCTGAGCGTACCGCGGCGGTGAAGTTTCTGATGAACACTGCTTTTCTGTAGGACTTGCTTTTTCAAAATAGACTAAGAAATAACAAAAAGAAGGAACCAGCTATTCCCCATGCTGCAAGGGGGAAAAGAGACTGAAAATCTGCTCAACCTTTACTTTTTTTGCCTTTTGAAATGCAAGTTTATGTAAGTGCAGTAGGAAAAGTCTGAATCTGAGTTCGCTCTGGTGAGGGACCTCTAACCGTGAATAAAATAATGATCATTCACATATTAACACACATCAAAATAGGTTTCTTATACATCAGTATTTGTCTGTATTAGCTGATCACTGTGCTATTTGGTTAGTGTTTTTGGAAGGGGACCAGGATCATTAGTTAACTTGCATTTTTATTATCATAAAACTTGAAAACAAGAAGCTAAGTCAGTTCTACTGGTAAAGACACACATCAGCACTGAAGCACAAGACAATATACAATCACTTATATAAAATTCCTTACAATAGCAAAATGCTATACCGGTGTCTAATACCCAGATCTGGGCAAAATTTTTTCACATTTTATGATTCTTCTAAAGAATGAATTTTCTCCTCATTTCTCATCTGAAATGATGGGCCACTCAGGAGATTAATAAAACAAAGCACAGTGTGGTCAGTTATACCATACAGAAGTGAAAAATGAGATTCCTTCAAAATTCTGAAATATCTGCGTTGCAAATCACAAGTGAATACCTTAATCTGTTCCACTTGGACTGTGCTGCAGTTCAGTGTAGCCTGGTAGCATCCCTTTGTACCAGGGGTCTGTCCTGAACAGTTATGTCCAGAATCATCTCAGGATCATCCTCTTCATCATTTTGGTTATGATTAACCGAATAACTTTTGTAATTTCTACACCTCTAGACCTTAATCCTGCCAACATACATGTGCTGGAGATGGTTGATGTAAGCGCTTGTTGATTTGGAGTTTGGCTCTTACAATGATGTAGTTGAGGGTAAACACAGGTAAAACATTTCATCTGCTTTTAATATGAGCAATGTAGATTTTACTCCTCCCATACACTAAAAAGGAAAACTGAGCTTGCTTTTACAGTGATACCCCTTTAGCCACACGCTCAGGACTAAGTACAGCACAAGTAAATGTTGGTAAGATTGGAGCTCTGATCCTTATAGCTTGATTTAAATTTACTTCTGTATGTATATGGAGAGAAAGTTAATGCTTATTTATCAATACTTAGTTTGTAGGGGGAAAGGAAGTAGTAGGTAAGTGAGCCTTTTTATGAATTTGGGTTATATTTAGTGTTAGATTTTCTAGTATCAAAGAGATTAGGGAGGAAGAGAATTCCTAAGAACTAAAATATCTTGATCAGACTTCAAAAAACCCAAATCTGTTATTTTGCCTTTCAATGGTTTTGTTCTGAAAAGTGCTTAAATTTATTTATTTGTTTTCCTAAGAAATGTAAGGGTCAAAACCTGAAATCATATATTTTTAAGTCATTTAGCATGAGCTGCATATTTCACCACTTTTTTCCAGCTTGGATTTTTTTTTATAATTGTTATAGTTTCACATCCGCCCAAAACAACACATATTTTCAGTTTGATCACAGACTGAAAGGTCACTTGTTCACATGACCAGATTTCATCACCTTCTCATTCAACTGAAAATGCTGATGCATATGCATTTTCACATCTCCAGAAATTATAATTATATAATTATTTCTAATTCAATAAACCCAAATTTCTGAGAAAACTTCTGCCCTTATTTAGCTTTGGAAAAATATGAGAATCCACAACTTGGTTTCAGTCTGTTTGAGGTATTTCCCTTTAAGCCTGACCTCTGTCTCACTTCAGTGACTTTTAGTTCATGCCATTGACTTCTCTGGAGGAATATCTTATATACATCAGGGTCAGAATTAGCCCCTGAATACTTACTATAGTTGCTGGTCACTGTTACAGAAATATTATTAGCATTGGGGAGAGTGGGGAATGGAGAAGGAGAGAATTTCCACTAGGGTAGATATGTGGATTAATATGCCTGCACCACTTTAAAACAAGTAATGCCGGATATATTACTTTATCTCATATAAAATGTGCTAGTGTGCTAAATGTGCTAAAAGCTGGTGTGTGTAATGGGGTGCAAAAGCTTGTTCTAACTGGACTAAAATAAATATTTTTGTGCCATGGATAATGAAACAAGAGAGTCACACCTGTAATAGAGCTGCAGCAAGCAATTTTTTGCTTATTAAATTTATCGTTAGTGTACAGTGGACACAAATTATGTGCCTGGTGGTAGAAAAGGTTCACTACTGCCAATGGGCTTCCTAGAACTTCTATGGAATATACACATATATGTATGTGTATGTATATATGGGTATATACCTCATAGAAGGCTCTTTTATTTTATGCCAAATACTGCATTCAGCACTTCTCTCCCCCAGACCTCATATTCACCATCATTCAGCGTACAAGGCATTAAGTGCTGATGACTTCAGATACAGTTTTTATGGAAATCTGCTGTACAAACCTATCGTGATTGAGTTATGGCCTCAGAAGAATGCTGCATCATCTCATTTGTAGAGATAAAGAGCTCTCAGAGTTTCTGTAACTTTCTCACAATGCTTAGAATTTGCACTATAATTTTCTCCAATGATAAACCAAATTCATCCTATATAACAACTCACAGAACCTTCCCTACCTAGTTGCTGAGAATCATCTGTCCTGGATAAGTCACTTCTAAGTCTTCCCTTTATGAGATTTACCACGACATTTCGTGTGTTAGTCACCTAAAGTGCTTTATGTGGTGGTCTGCAAGAGTTGCAAATTTCATGTTTTCATTAGTTCAGATTCTATTTTGGGCACACAATTAAGGGATCAGAAGTTCAGAAGGACTCAACGTGGACTGTTGAGAGAACACTTTAGAAAATCTGAGGTTTGGAAAGTCTTAGGGTTTCCCAGAGAATTACCTTGTCTTCAATGGCCAATAGAGCAAGATTTCACCAGATTTTACTGGGGTGGGGCAGGGTGGGGGTGGTTTCTGAGCAGTAAGAACAGTTCTGTCAAGTAGATAAATGACCAGACATCGCTTCTGAGAAGTAACAATGCCAGGTTGAATGTGCTAGATACTGAACGGATATGGGGAATTTCTCAGCCAGATTCAGCTTAAAAGAACACGCTGAAAAGATGTAGGAAGCAGGAGTAAGGACTTAAAGATGGAAGTCAATCTAACTAATCAAGACATAAGACGATGTTTTGGCCAAGTGTTTGCACCTGCTCACAGGATCATTAATTTCTGCCACCCTAACCTATTTTCAGATATCAGTTTTCTCTGTGCACTGGGGTGATCTTAAGAGAGAAGTTGCATGTGGAAAATTAGATTTGGACAATGAGGTGTCTTTATACCTAATGGACAGAGCCAAGAAGGCAGGAAGGTGCCTCTGGGAGAAAAGGATCAAGAGGCCAGCTGAGATGTGGATGTGGAGAAAATGAAGGACAAGTCAAAGAAAGGATGGGAAAACAAACTAATGAGGTTTTGATGCAGGGACATTGTGAACGTCTCCTAGATGGGCACTGTTGTACAGTGGGCCAACACCCAATTACTAGATTCAAGGAGAATCTGGAAACAGGAAAGACACCCACTGAGGAGAGAAAGGCAAAGCAAGATGGCAATCTGCTAGCTTTTGTGATGCGTTTAATGCTGTCTCAGTGTAAATAAAACAGTGAAGGACTGAGACCTACTGTGGGATCCAGGCACTGCAGAATAGGGAAGGATGGCCAAAAAACTATTTTCTGAGATGATTTACTACATAAAAGCTAGGTTTAAGAAGTATAGTCATGCTGTCAGCATGAAGGTGCTTACACCAAGTCGTGAAGTGGCAGAGATTCTGGAGTCGCCTAGATCTCCCACCTCTTACTCTGCTCCTCTCCACCCTTCACCCCCAGTCTGTCTTGGTCTTCCTCAGTGACCTACACTTCAGCTGTGCTGCTGACTTTGCCTTGTCAACTCAAACAGATCTTTTAAAGCAGTAAATTGTCTCCTGCTAAGAAGAGGCTCGCTGTGGACAAAGCAGCCTGGTCTCGCTGCTGGTTGGGCTGCAATATCACACATGGTCTTTTGTAGCTGGGCTGTCTCCACCAGAGAACTTCTCTGCCCATTTGAGCTCTTCACCCACAAGACCCCATCCCTGGTGCTATGTGTTCCCCAACTTCAGTGCATCCCTGACACTAACAGTGTGCTTTTGGGCCCCACCATGGCTTTGAGTGGAAACATTAACTAGGCAATCAAGCCTTGCTGTCACTTCTGGCCAAGAAGTGGAAAATTGAGGAAATCCAGCGAGGTGAGGCAGGGAAGAGGAAGAGTTGCAGAGAGTGAAGCCTGGTCATCACAGAACGCCCGGGTGGTAGGTGCTCAGGTGTGAGACCTCATGCCAATAAAGAGTGTAAAGTCCAAATCTATGAGTACCTGACCTGAGTTATTATCAGTGATGTATTTACTGTGGAGGAGAAGAAAGCTGGGGAATTTTCCTGAAAGACAGTAAAGTCTATGAAAATAAGTAAGTGCAAGGTGGGAAGCTAAACATTACTGAGATCTGCACCTGGCTGTGGCACACTGTATCATGTCTTTGGATCTTTTGACCTTGTGTAGGGACTACTGGTTGCCAGCCTTCACCCAGGGAAAGGCGGGGGAGTCCCTTGAGGCTAGGGGACTGCTGCAGCATTGGCAATGGTTGCAAGGGAGAGCACCAAGACAGTGATTTCTTTAGTTGCACTTGCTTTGCATTAAACATAATGGAAAGCAAAATATTGCAGAGGTTTTCTCTCAAAATTTCAGTGGTTGATTTAAAAAGTGTGGAAAATTTTGCTGCATGTCTCTCTCTGCCTTGTCTTTTCTGTTTTCCTAATGTTAGGATCTGGCAGGGAGATTTCACTTTCATGCTGAAACAAAAAGTGTTTGTGTGTGTTCCCTAGAAATTTTACATAAGGTTTTAGAGCTGTATATTGATTTATAGAACTGTAAACAATTTCTTGGGAAAAAAAAATTTCAAATAGCTTCTGCAAAATACAAGGTATAATTTTAATCTACTTTACAGGGAAGTTGGAAGGGAATAATTAAGCAGTTAATGATTAATCTGAGCTTTATGTTAGTGCAAAGTACTGAGCAAATCTATTAATAAGGAAATGATGAAAAGTAATTACCTTTTAGAACCAAGAATCTGAAGGAGAGTCATGCAAAACTATACTGAAAGTGCTAGAGAAAGTTCACAACACGTTTTTGAGTTGAGGAAATTATACATTGGAGGTGGAATTAGTGATGTAGCTTAGCTGCAATATTCAAGATCAATATTCCTACCCACAGGTATAAACTGTTCCTCCTTAGCTTACAAAGTTTTGAAGAGCTCTCAGTTTTTACTTTCAAAAATAGATTTTTTTCCTCCAATATGACTTTCATTTTTCCAGGGTTTTTTGTGTTTTTTTTTTTTTTTGTTTTGTTTTTTTTTTTTTTCTGTTTGTTTTTGTTTTGTTTGTTTGTTTGTTTGAATTCAGACTATGGCTTCAGCTTTCCCTACTCCTTAATTTAAGGCTGCAGGGAGCTGCAGGGGAGTAACAGTACAGAAGAAGGATAACAGCACAGAGATCGCACCCCAAGACGCGCCCGCAAAACCAAGGTCCAGTGAGGTCACACCAGGGCCCTGAAGGGAAGCCCCCACCAGCTGCTGCCAGGGACCTACAGTAAAAAGGCACCAAAGAAGGTTTTGTGCTCCTTAGTGTAATCCACCAGCTTGATGTCACTAACATTGACCATTAGTTTGTCCCCTACTTCTAAGGAGACCACAGCACCCAGATAAATGGGCTGGAACCAGCTGTTCCCCTTTTCAGTGAGGGTCTTGGTACCAGTCAGCAGCTGAGTGGGCTCGGGGTAACTGTCGGTGACTTTGGTGATAATCTCAGTGACAGAATTTGTTTTACTGTAACTTCCAATGGGCCCTCGGAAAGTGACCTGAGCGTAGACATAGTAGTCCCCAGACACAGGTATCACCAGTGCGTTGCTGGAATAATTCAGGTTGTTCTTGGTAAAGGCCAAGCCTCGCTTGTCTTCCCACTGCAGGATGGGCATATGGTTCCCCATGGTGTTGACAGGATCTTGTTTCTTCACTGCAGGAAGAAGAGAGAGGGAGAAGAGGTGGGTTAGTTTGCTACAGCTGAGGATTGCTGCTGAAATTAATGTGAGATCTCTACTCCAGAGGACAAGCAATTTAAATTGGGCAATCAAAATGATAGGACAAAAATGTTTCTGTTTTACAGCTTGAAAACTGAGGTGAATTGGCTGCAGGCCAGCTGCCCCGTGATATTTTTGGAGGGTGTCCATAGGGTGTCCAGATCTGAGCAATCGGGAGTGAAAGCCAAGGATGCTTTTGGAAGACCTTGGCCAGCGCAGGCTGCCTGAAGGGGTGTGCTGCGCCTGGATGTCCTGGTTGTGAGCCAGATCTCAGACGATGAGACAGTCATTCCTAAAGGCTGAGTCTCATGTCACCGTGGAGCAATACAGATGACTCTACCCTGCAGGTCTGGGGTGCTATCTTACGTTTTTACAGAGTAAAAACATTGTCCTTAAGTGAAACCAGTGCTGGGGCAGTTGTACACATGGGTACTATGCCTGTACCTAATGGTTCAGGACAGTAATAAGAAATACTAAAGCATCATTTTCTTCAGTAGTGTTGGATTGCAGTTATGTTTCTTAGACAGACACTACTGTGATTTCAAAAGTTTCACAATGATCAGCATGATCTATCACCAAGCACTGAGACACTTGAACTTCTCTTCCTGCCAAGTTGTTTCTGAAGGATGTTAAGGTTTGTTAGTCTTTGTGTCAAACTCAGAAGACCCCACTGTGCTTCAAGAGGCCCAATTGCAAAGAAACACATTATATTGAAAACCAGTTTTATCTCTCCATCTCTCCTTTTTTTTTTAATATGCTTTGCTGGAACAAAAGACTAAGCTTGTTGTTAGCCTCAGCTTTCCTCTAGTCTTTTCCCCAGCCTTGTGCTTAACTGATTACAAGCTCTAATCTAGACCCCAACATCAGTCTGATCCAAGCTGATGATGGTCCCCAGGCTACGGGGGTCTCGGGGGAAGAATCAGTGAACTGCTGCCCTATTCCCCCTGCCTCTCCTCCACCGTTTTAATTTCTCTAACACAAGAGTAAGGAGAATAAGTCCTAGCACTTTTCACTTTTCTGTAGGGAAGCAGAAGAGTCTTCTCTGCTCTTTACTGACTGCCACATAAAATTGTTGTGGTAAAATAGCAGCTGAGTCAGTGAAAAGGAAGAGGATAAAAACCATTAAGATTCTGCCAGGTATTAAAATGAACCTGGAAAGTTAAATGCTGAGAAAGACTGAGGCAACTGATTTCCAGGAAATGAGACCTTTTTCATAAGACTGAGTTAATGCTTCAAGTTGATATTGATTCAGTATTTGGGGAGGGGTTGTGTGTGCATGGACAGCCTGGCAAATGGAATGTAGGTAAGGGAAAGCTTTGAAATTCTCTTGGCAATAACCATTAGGTTTATCCTGGGTGAAATGAGATTCAGAAAAATTAAAGTGCTCAGCTCCCAGTGGCATCCGTTTACCTCTCTTTTCTAGTAATAAATAATCCTTAAGGAGACAAGAAGGTGTTAGGACTGCAATTTCTTGCATATTCTCGGAGTAGCACAACAAAATAATGGGTTTTGTTTTTCAGACTGCCTGTCAGTGCTGCTGAAGTATCAGATCTTTCTGATCTTTCCCCGGGAGGCAAAGTATGTGTGGGAGAACGATAGACAGGGATTGTGATAGTAAGCCAAGATAAACTATAGAAGTATGATAAGGACTATGATTCTTAGAGCCTGTGGAACTTTGCCTGATACAGAGAGAGAGGAATAAAAGAAAATGAAAGTGCTCATGGTCTGCCTTCACCCTCATCTACCTCTTGGGCGTTTAGGGACTGGTCTGAGGTCTGGCAAAAACTAAAGTAGCATTTGGGTCACTCTAAGGTTTATAAGAGCTTGAGTAATACCTCTCAGAGATCAGTTGGTAGCAGACAAAATCTTGTTTGAGATGGAAAGGAACAGAAAAGATCAGAATATTTGCAGAAAATGACCTGGTCTCTTTTCCATCTTGGGGATTTTGGGGGAAAATTGAAGAGAAGCAGCATGTGAAATATTCATTTCCATGTAGAATGACGCATTCAAAATGTCAATGACACTCGATTCAATATTTTTAATAACTAACAGGCATCTCAAGTGAAGTACATGATTTCCTAACTTTTAAAATTAGGCAACTCTAAGTTTTATAGCTATAACCTCCCTTTTAGGATAAATCTCAATCTTTTGATGCTCTCTGTTTTCAAGTTAATTAATTTTTCCCATGTTTTCAGTACTGGTCAAGAGGCTTTGAATACATCATGGCTCCTTTTCTAGAAGCAGCTGTACTTTGTAGTTGTCATTTATTTATTTCATAAATATATGGAGCTATACTTCCTGCAAATATATCTATTACGCTAACTCTTGAAGTAAATAAAATCTGCTTTTAAGAAGGGATTAATTGCTACAGTTCCTTCAACTTTCCCATCCACTATAAATTTTTGCCATCCCTTACATGTGAAATCACTTCTCCTCTCCCCAGATTTCTTTTGGTTTAGTCCCTTGCTGGAGAACCCCTGTTGCTTGTCAGCTTTTGGGTACATTAAGTGTCATGTTGCTGAATGTGTGGGGCTTCTACAGTTCTTAGCCCTCACCAGTGTGAGTGCCTGATACTGAACACTCTACTCGGAGGCCAGACTCCTGGTCCCACCAAGAGAGTCTGAGTCCCCTGCTGTAGTAAAGCCCTTGTGCAGCATGTACTGCACAGTCCCGTGGCTGCAGGGTCTCTGCTGCTCAGGATCATGCCCTGGGAGTTTAATAACTGCCCTTAAATGGTCACTAATTCCAACAATCAAATGAAAACCAGAAAGTGATGTTCCACTCAGATTTAGTGGAGCACCCAGGTACCACTGCAGCACGATAAGCGTGAGCCAGGTACTTGGTGGGGGTTCTCCAACATAGTTCATCCAGCCATGCCACAGGCTGCTGACAAGAAGGAGTAGACATTGGTCTGCATCTTGACCCAAAGTGCAACCAAATAAGTCAGAGAGGAGGTGATGGCATGGCATGGTGCAGTCAGCACCAAGTACACATTAGTGCACAGGAGAGAATGGGGATGGAGAAAAGTCCTACCTAGGTATTCACATATATTGTGCCATTCTTCACTAGCTATAGCCACCCTTGGAGAAAAGATCTTGATGGCAATTCAGGTAAGTCTAAAATGCTCAGTGTGTTTTAAAAAGGCCAAGAGCAAGTGGAAAATTCATCAGTAAGGAACAGGGACCAAAACATCAAGTCATTCTGCTACGGCTAGTTCAGTTGTGCATTTCCATGAAAGTATGGTGGCTAGTTTTCATTCCTCTCACTTCTCTGCTCTCACCTTTAGAATATACATGTCTAAAACTAGAAAAAGATAGGGAGAATAAAGATCTGGAAGAGATTTCCTACAAGTGAGAGTTTGTAGTCTACCACAATCACTTTGAAATTGGTACCTGAAGTAGAGAATGTAACAAAGATCTGAAGAACAATTATTCCATTTTCACATCTGAAGAATAATTATTCCATTTTCACTTTCTATGCACAAGTCATGGTTTCTGAGAAAAGAAGACCAGGGTGGCACTCAAGAAACTATTATGCAGCAAGTTGAAAATAATAGGTAATATTTCCCAACTGTGATGGACCGTCAAGCTTGGGGACACATTGCCACAGCTTACAGCACCAAAAATATGCTTGGGCTAAAAAAAGGCCAAAGATAAGTTCATGGAGACTAGGTTCTCTGATGACTTTGTAGCACAGCAGCCTGGGTGTTGCCTTTTTGCACAGAAAAGGAGTGATAAATTCCCCCTAGCTTTTTCCTTTTCACACTCCTTACTATGGTGAACAGTGACTGGCCCGAAATGGCAGGTTGAAGAGAACAGACACCATCTCGGGGAGACTACTTGGGATGACGGTGAAGGAATTTTTGCAAATGAGGAGCCTGTGGAAATTTAAAGAAAACTGTTGGGTTCTTCCCTGTGGCAACTGGATTTTTGTGCAACCCAGGGAAGTTCCCATCAGCAGAGCAGGGCCTCAGCTGCTCTTCTGAGTCAGCTGCACCAGGAGCCTCTGGGTATCTCTGCCATGGGGGGACTCATGGGGAAATAGAGAGACCTACACTAGCAGACATGGTCTTTTGCTCTTGCAAACTTCCACTTAATCGAAGATGTGATTTTGAACAAGGACGGGTCAGTTTGGAGCTCTAGCAAAAGGGGATGGGACCAAGGATGTACATTAGGAAGGAGCTTGTGGATTAGGGGCAATAAACTATGCCCTGGAAGAAATCAGCCCTGAAATATTGATTGATTTAACCCTGCAGGTGAATTTGTGTGAAGCACCATGCCACTTCTTGCATGTTTCAGTTTCCCCTGGGACAGCACACAAGGTGTTGGGAAAGCCTCTGCAGTGAGCTGTATTTCTGAGAGGTATAAATTGCCTTAGGTGAGAAAAGCTGGGGAGCCTTTCAGCACTCAACTCCATCCGCATGGGAACCAGTCATGAACTTTTTCCTCTTCTCTGGTAATACCTAAATTTTCCAGGTGGGTGGAGCTGGAAAGGATGGGGGAGGGCTCATGACAGTGTCCTTGGTGCGATGACAGCTACACCTTCAAGGCTGAGGTGGTGAGATGGTGGCCTTGCAAATGTCGGCAGCCCCTGGGAAATGTGTGGCAGCCCACCCTGTGATAGCACCTTCCTAATGCAAGATAAGGGCTTGGGGGGGTTCAGCTGGGCATTACCCTTCCCTTGCTTGCTGCAACGTGTTAGAGATGATCTCACTGAAAACAGTGGGTGATTTGATGATAATATGGTGTGTGTGGCCTGAGTCAGGCCTTGCAGATAAATAAGGTCTAAACCTGATCTTATTTGACCTGATTTTGCTCCAAAACTCTTCCCATTTTGCTTCTCCATGAGGGATCACTCCAGCTCTTTCCCCTGCCTTTTCTAGGGGATTCAGCAGATCACTAAGATACCAGGTACCTATTTAAATTCAGTTACAGAAGCTTCTCATTCAGTGAAAGAAATGGCTTAGAAAAGTGTCAGAACTTGTCAGCTATCTCCTTTGTGAGCCCTTTTCTACAAACACAGGCTGCAGTCAATATGTCGTGGTCAACAAGGCAAAGCTGATGATTATTTTCCCCATGTTTCCTGCAACACCTGATCCTATCAGATCCATATAAACCAAAATTATTGCACTGAAAACTGCAGCATCTACTGTAATACCCATGGGAAACATTTCATTTTCGAGCAAGTATTACCTGTCAGGTGTGCTCTTGGCTTTTCTTCACTGGAAAATGTATCTGTAACTGAGGAAAAAAAAAAAAAAAAGTGTAAGGATGTTTGCTGCTATTTAAGTCCATGAAGTGTGAGCGGTGATCAATGCTACTGAGGAAACGTGTAAGTCCTTTCCATTTCTATATATGTTTGAGTCAGGAGTTATTTGCCATGATTGTTTATTGACAGTGTTGAGGCAATAAAATCCTTTTGCAAATGAGCGAGCTTGTCAGGCTTGCTGTGGTGTCGGCAGGGCACATCAGGGCTGTGTCTTAAATTGCTAGAGGGTGAACTGAGGGGAGGTGTGGTATGCACGGATGAGTGTGGTGCTTGTGGGCTCCTGAATTAGTGCTTTTGCTTGTTCAGGGAGTTACACTGATCTCAGAGAGCTGCTGAGGAAGTCTGTGCCTGCCCTAGAAGGAGCAAGCTTGCACAGCTCTGGGATTAGACATGCTTGCACTTCTGCTATGGCCCCAGTTATCTCCCTGCATCTTGTCACCCAGGTTTGCTTCTGTCTGCCCTGGCCTGTTTGGCTCGGGAAGGATTTGGGTGGTGAGAGAGAAGGGCAGGTGGGGAGGCATCTGCCAGCAGCGTGCCGCGGTAGCGATTGCAAAACCTCAGTAAACAAAGGTGTTTGGGATGGGGAAAGGACTGGCAAACTTACCAGTATGTACTGCCCGTTGCTTCAGAAAGCGAGAGCCCCTCTCTTCTGTGACCTGAAGGAGAGATATACAAGCAGTTAGCTCAGGGCTCCAGGGTGTACAGTACTTCCACAGAGGGTCTTGTTTGCTTTATCCCAGAAAGAGGAATATGCTACAGTGATATTATCAAGTTCAGATAAAGCTTTTATGTTAAGGGACAAGCCCTGACAAGGCTTTGCTTCATTGCAAAAGTTTTCTGCTGTTTGCTTGAAACTGCCTGCATCTCTGAAAGCGTGCCAGGGATGGGACTTGGGTTCCTGTGGTGGTGGTTGTGTTAAGCTCCAGTCTTGTTCAGAGGCTGGAAAAGCCCTTGGCCCAAGTGGGAGAGGATCGGCAGAGTGGCCAGTGTGAATTAGCAGTTGATGACCCTCCTTTGGGATGGTGCTTCCATCCAGCACTGCTGGAGCACCTCTGCTGCTCAGACTCTCCCATCCCTCAATCTGTGCAGAGCAAACAGAGCAAGCAGAGAAATGAGTGTTTCTTCCCTGCCTCAAGATCCAGCAGGTCTGAGCCCTTGCAGGCACAAAGGTTCACCCATAACGCCAGACTAGCTGAGGTGTACCTGCTACACCTGCTTTTTTTTCAGCATCTGTGTTGTTTCAGACTGTAAGTCCGCTGCTTAGGTCTGCCTTGAATGTCGGGTAGCCTCCTTGGGAGATGGAAAGGAGCTGAGCGGGTCTGAGAGTGCCTCTGGCAGAGGCTGAGCTCCGCGACAGGCTGACACTCCACCGAGGGAAGGCAGGGTGGATTGCGCTTCCTTGCCTCTTACGTTTTCTTCTAGAACGGAACACCAGCACACTCATAACCCATCCCTGTGCCAACCTGCATTTGCATGGCAGCAGGGCATGGCCCTGGGCCATGCCAAGCTTTTCTGATGTTTAGGTCAAGCAGTTCAAAGGGAAGCTGCTGTCTGCCTGCCACACGCCTACCAGGGCTGATCCTTCTGAATCACACTTAGGTATGGCCGGTGGCTTCTTGCCAAGTGCCGGTCCTCTTACGGCAGCCTGCAAAGCAGCACGGCTCCTAACTGGAGGATGCTGTGGGGTCCAGCCTCCCTGGGGTGTGAGGAGCATCCCTTACGCCTTCCTCAGGGTACAGTTCACTGTGGGTCTATGCCAACAGTGTGCTTGCAGAAAGCAGATAGTCTGGGTTATGCAGCCAGTTTAGGGTCGACTATCAAGGCTGTCAAGAACACCTATCACACAACATTTGTCAGGAGCATGCTGGTCTGGTATGGTGCATTTTATGGTCAGCTACAATAAATACATTGAACGAAGTAAACTGCAGTTGATCAGCTTGCAGCTAAGGATTTGACGCACATAGCTTAACAAACAGGATGAAATAGTTATTAACATGTAGGTGCTGAATCTGTGTCCTGATGACTGTGTCTCACCTAACTTCAAATACAGCAGGAGAAGTAGAAAATAGGTAATTTGTATTGGCTGGGGAAAGGAGAAGTCAGGTTTCTTAGGTTTGGGTCTGTAAACCACTCTAGTAAGCCCAAATATATTTTTATGTTTTACTAGCAGTAACCATCCATGTGCTCCTGCAGAAAACCATAATTTCTAAACTAGTTGCTCCAGCATGTTGGAAAAAAATAATGGAGAATGAAAACTGCAGGGAAATGTATCTTTTTTTTTTTTTCCTCCCTTCCCCACCTGCATACACACATATAGCCCAGCCATAGCAGTCTGCTGCTCTGCAGGAAATGTCACCTAGAAGAGATGGTGGTACGAAAGCTCAGTGTGTGGCTGACAGAGAGAAATAGTGTTGCGCTGTCAATGAAATGTCTGGGCCTTTCATTATGACTAATGACTTTCTCCAAGGCTCCATCTGCTTGCTGTGGTGTCTAAACCTGACTGTACTTTTGATGTGGCACAGAGTCATAGCCAGGTAGCTTTGTCCTTCCCCTGGTGGGAAGCACAAGACTGGTGTGGAGGATTTCCCTCAAACACTCCCCCTTGTTTTTAGCCAGATGCATATGCATATGAGTATATTTTACACCATTATTTGTGTGACGCTTCCTACATATTTATCAAGTGTCATATTTTCTAATGATGCTAAATACTGCAATGAGCTACAAATCCATCACAAACCTACACTTAATTGTGTAACTTCAGTGAGACTGTTTACATATTTAAAGCCTATTTCTGCTGAAGTACTTTATATAAACTGGGATGTTGTAATACAGAGGTGATGGGGAAAGTGGGATGGATATCAGGAAGAATGCTGCTTCTTTATAAAAAATAACAAAATGGTTTTGACTAAAAACTGGGAATTGTTTTCAATGCAATATCAATTTACTTGCTTTCAAAGAAAGCTAGATGGAAACTCCAGGTACAGGAGCTGCATTCGTAGGTGTTAAAGGACAGTTTGGTGCAATAGATAGAGGAGGGTGCTGCAAGGTGTGACATTATTCTCTTCTTTGGCAAAGGTAGATTTTTTTCCATAATTGTGCTGTTTGATAAGGACACAAAACTAAACCTTCCATAGAAACTATTCAAGCTCTAGTCAGTGTTACCAAATGGCCACGTATTAGTAATATTTGTCCTAAATAGGCACAGAGTTTGCACATTGATAGTGTAGATGAGGTGGTAAGGGAGAGCTAGGCAGCATGAGACAATAGAGAGATCATTTACACAACTAGTGGTTTTCTCCCTTTTCTTGCCTAGCTGTGATTCTGAAAAGTTCACAGCATGGCTTCAATTTTCCCTTTGGTTACTGTGGAGAGACTGTAATCAGCACTGACAGATGATGAAAATCCCACCTCACAGCTGACTTGCAGACAAACGACGTCTTGGACAGACGGTTCTAATTACCCTGAAGACTGCGGTATGCAAAACACTTCTATATTATTTTGATACCAAGAATGTTCAAAAGCCCCACTGTATTTATATCCATATATTGCTAAAGCCAAAAAGAAGAGCTGAACATCCCCTGTACACACACTTTGCCTCTTGTACCTCCAGGAAGGGCTGGGGGTATCCAATAGAGAACTATATGGGAAAAGCAGCTTGGCACTGCAGGCAGAGAGATTAATTAGCAAAATATCCCCAGCACCTCCATCCATTCTATTTTTAGCAAAAAATGTTATTTTACAGGCAGATCCTCTGCAGGTTATATGTGGTTCATACACCCATGATTTTGCTAGCTTCAGAGATGCTACATGGCCTGGGCTGGGCATTTTTGGTAGGGACCTGTCCTGTGCCAATAAAAACTGGGAGTGTAAATAAAAAGCGGGAGTATTTCAGCTGGACTATAGTGCTCAGTGTAAGCATTCAGCCAGGGCATGTGCTTACTGGCTTCTCTGCCCATGAGGACCATGTGCTTCAAGCAGCAATGGCCAGTCAGGAGTTTTACTGCTGCTGGATTTTGGAAGGGGAATCCCACACACCTGGACCTAGGTGCAATGCTCACTGCTCCTCCCCAGGCATTTTTCTTTCCCTACTGATCAGGAAACCATTTCAACCTCTCTTTCCCATTTGGGCAGGCCATTAGGGCTTCTGACTGCAAGTCTACATGTTCTGGCAGCCCTTATCTGAGCTTTGTTGCTAGATTTGTGCCTTCATCCTGTTGGATGGGACCCAGGTGGAGCTGTTAGGACTTTAAAGTCCCTCCTGTATTGCAGCAGCTCTTTTCTCCATTGCAAGGCTGACATGGCACGCAGGTTCATGTGCAATCCTTTAGACAGGTTTTGGAGTTTCCCTTTATGCTGCTTGTGGCCCTGTCATGCCAAGGATGTTACAAAAATAAGCCCAAGTATCAACATCTCCAGGCCACAGGACTTGATGCTCTGTTGCACTGTGCTAGCTGAGCGGGTTGCTAAAGTAGCCAGAGATGCTCTCCTGGCTGCTGTGCTGTTCCCTTGGTAGATTTGAACGCTCAGACTGAAACTTGGCTTCCTTCTGGGGAAGGATGCACGGCAGTCCTGGCCCATCCTCTGGAAGGGCACCACTAGAGCCTTTTATAGATTTCCTACTAATAACACAAGCCATGTGTCATTGCTTAAAGAAGCCTATTTCCTCACCTCGCTCTGACTTGTAGCACAAAAGAAAGTGATTTCTATTTCCAAAAGGGAAGCAGCATAGTGAGCCTGGAAGGTGTCCAGAGAAACCATTATCAGACTTTAATTATTCATGCAAGACACATTATACCATGAGAGAGAGAGAACCGGTGGCTTACACATATTGCTGTAACAACAAAACTTGCCCTGCTTTTCCCTGAAAGGTTCGTTTCCAGAGGAAAAGGTGAGTTTGTATCCCTTCAGAGGCAGAATGCAACACCACACACACCCACACAGAAGCAGAGATGAATAAACTGCCTTGCCCTGCAGGCAAATCAAAGAGGCACACCCCTGTTGCACAAACCTTCCCTGGCTCCCCTTCTCCTCCTCCTTGCTCCAGGAAGTACCAGCTCAGGAATTTACTACATCTGCTTCTCACCTGCCCAGCTATGGAGTCCCTCCCTCCTCCCAGGACTGTCCCCAGTGCATGAGAAGTTGATAATCTGGCATGTGTGGGCTGAGGTCTGGTCCTGGGGCAACGAGAGAGCTCTTCCCACTGCTGCAAGGGTCAGCAAGCAAATGCCCATCTGGTGAAAACCTGGGTCTGCCCACTTGCTCCCGGTACACCCAGGGCATCCACACCCCAAAACCAGTGCCACAGAGAGCCCTGGCACATGCGTTTAGTCCCAAGCTAGTCCTCCTCATTTGGGCTATCAGTGGGGTGCGTGAGGAAGACAGCCTTTACCAATCCAGTTCTAACATTTCAAATGCAGAAGGAAATGCAAAAACACATTTTCCCAAGGGCCTTTTTGCCCAGAAATGTTTCCATGGACTGAAAGGGCCTACAGCTGTGGCAGGATGCAGGACTGAACTGCTGGGCTCAGCCCGTGACATGGCTCTGAGGGGAATTAACAGAAAGCTACACAGGCAGACAGATCCACCCATCTGTGCTCTGTTGCTGGACTACACTGGTGATACAGTTAGTCACCAGCAGAGTGGATGAAATATTCTGAAAATGCAGCATCCAGTTGAACTGTAGCTGGGCGCTCCACCCACTGGGCTTGGCACAAAGGCAGTGGGCAGCCAGCCAGCCCCAATGATTTCTCTCTTCCTCTCTGGGACTTGCAGAGGCTGTAACTCATCTGATCACCTCATTACATCATTGTGGGAATACTACACGCTAATAATTCAGTTCATATGCATGGAAATACACACTAGCGTAGCCTAGGCTCAAGCAAATCTAATGGCTTACTTTGCGCATTTCCTCCTAAAAAGCCAAACCCATTCGCAAAAATACTTTTCTCTGCTAACTCTGCAAACAGGGTCGAGAGCAAGAAACACATTAGTCCAATCAAGCGGGCTAATGTTTTATTATTATTTCACTCTAAGATCGTTTGAAGAGCTCACTGTTCTGGTCCGTACAACCTCACAGGACACAAAGAACAGTGCAGAAAGAGTCTGTTCGCTCCATGTGCACCTGCTCTAGCTGGCCCGAATAGCAGTAGCAGGGTCAGCACAGTGACAGGCACTTCCACATGTGCAAGAAAGTGGCAGATTTAACAGCCAGAGGTAGCGGCCTGAGGCTGCTGCCTCTCCTTTCAGCTGTGCATGAAGGTGTAACTGGGTAAGGCAGAAGATGCTGCACCTGGAAGCCGGCATCGCTTGGGTGCCAGACAGTGGATGTGCAGACTTGAGGCCAAACAGGGGCTCGCACGCCTCTGTGCAGCCAAGAGCGCGCACGCACGCAGCCATGGGTACAGCTGCCACGCTCTCCAAACATCCACAGCCTAAATGTGTGCAAGGTTAGAAATCTGCCTTCGAGGTCACTTACTAACACTGCTTTCTTTTGCTGTTCCTCAGTGAGCAGATAACAAGCAGGCTAATTAGTTGGGGAATTTCAGACCCGAAGCTAAAATTAAAATCTTCAGAGCTATGCACATACAGTCATCCTTCTAGAATGGGGCAGACCTGCTGAATTCATCTCCTACCATGGAGATACGCATCTGTTTGCAGCCTGGCATGAGGAGTGGGGCTGCATAGAAGAGCATTAGAAGCAGCCACACTAACAAGCTTTTATGCTAGAAGCAAAGTGACTTTAACTGTCAGAGGAGAAGAGCTGAGAAGACCCTTAGATCTGGAGAAAGTTTTGATGGGGAGTAAAATTTCAGATGCAGAATTTAGGGTCAGACTCCTTAATTGTCTCAAATCGTATGTCTGCAGGAGTTTGCATTAGTAATATAGGAAAGTTGTAGCTGCCTGACCAGCGATGGATGATGGGCACTGACCCACTGACATCAGCAGTGCAGTCAGCAGATATTTGCTGAAATAGGACACTGGGAGGGGGAGTCTCCAAGTTAACCCGAAAGAAGGGAGGAAAATGAGTCATGGTGTCAAAATCTGCCTGAAATCAGTGGATAGACACTGATTTCCGTCAACTAGTGATTTTTCTTAAGTGTTTCCTGCAGCACGTCAATAGAAGTTTTAAAGTTGTACGTTGTACTGTGACCTTAGTGAAATCAAGAGAAGAGGAACAGAAACCGTTAGTTAAAAAGACCAAACAATAATAAGGTTTAAGCCAGGCACATTAGCTCTGCGTAAGGAAGAAGGAATGCTCCGCACGTTCCCTTAAACACGAGAAACTCATAAAGAGAGTAAAAGAACCAAACAAACCCAACCCTGGAGACGCGGGACACGGTGCTCTCCTCACAGGGTGGCAGGACAGAAATCGGCTCTTACCTGGCCGGCGCAGGAGCTGGGGGCTCTGAGGTTTCCAACCAGCAGGTAGGCAGTGGGCAGCATGAGGACCAGCACGGAGAGCAGGCAGAGCAGCACCGCGCACCGTACCCTCCTCAGGTCCTCCCGGAGGTGCATCCCGGAGGCTCGGCTGGTCCCAGGAGCCCCCTCCGCCAGCGTTATCTCGGCCACACGGTCCATGCCGGCGCCTGACGTGCGAGCTGCTGCTGTTCCTGGAGGGGAACCGGGAACGGCAAAATCTCTTCTGGCGTCTGCCCTGCATGGAGACCCCCATTAAATATAAGAGCTGCCCCGAGTGTGGGAAGGCACCGACACACACACACCCTCCCTCCCAAGGAATGCACCGCCTACAATAGAAACCTAGCTCAGGGAAAGAGAGCACCGCGGCTCCCCGGGTCCCCGAGGTGCCTGCTGCATGCCTCCGTCTGGCTTTTTTTTCCCCCTCACTGTACAGAAGGAAGCTAGGAAAGTCCCAGTGGGTGGAACCAGGATAAACCCTGCTGCTGGGCTGGATAAGCTTTAAAGCTTTTCCGCATGGCAAAGGGAACATGAAACCAATGGGAGTGAAAGTGAGAAGCAGGGGGGGAGCGAGAGCGAGCGGCCGAGGTGAGCGGGCGGCGTGCGGTGTCCCGGAGCCCCGCAGTTTCAGTGCAGCCCTGGGAGAAAAGGGAATAGTCTTTTAGGGAAGGTGAGGCTCTCGCAAGTGACCCCGAGAAGGGTTCTGGTTCTCTGAAATGTTGTTTCATTCCTACGTTTTAGCAGCATTTGCAGTGGGCTGCAGGTTGCTCAGTGTACCTTTTGCACCAGAAAGTCCAGGGTTAGGCCTAAATCAGGGTGTTTAGCTGCTGTGGGGTTTGTCTTCTCTAGACTCATTTTAATTGTGCTTTCACAGGAGCCTGTTACCATTACTTGGAAAAGCTGTACTTGGAAAAAAATATATTGTCTTACTTTATTTATAGCTGCTATCTCTGATAAAAGGGGCCTGCTGCCTGTTGGCAACCTCAGGAGCTGCTCTGCAAGTGATTTAGGAGAAACAAGCTCAGATGGCAGCCGATGTTCAGCTGCAAGGGGCTTGCTTCTCCCGGGGAAGGCGAGTTGCAGGCACAGCAGCAGCCCACCCCTCTGTCTGCTGGCCCTGGCAGGAGCCGTCACTGGAGATGTTGCCATGTAGACTTCTCCAGATTGTTGAAATTGGAAAAATTTTCCCAGGAAAACACATTTCTCATCAAAACTGAAACTTTCCTTGATTTATACATGCACACACACTGATGTGCAGAAACTTCTCCTTTTTCCCTGGGTAGAGAAACAGGGTGGAAACTTACTCATTTTTTAGTGAGAGAGCAACAAGGTTTAGTTTCCCCAACCTCCCCATGAAAAATATTTGAGATTTGTGTTATTACAAAATAGTATCAAAGAAAGAAAAACAATTTGTCATGTCCCAGTCTGTTTGCAACACCCCCCACCCCCCAATAACAATTCAGCCAGCTCTTATCACTTGCATATCAGTAACACTGCTAGAAATTTTACTATTACTATAGTCCAGCGCAGCTCTTGATACACTAGAAAGCCAGAAGTTGTGCTCTGAGCAGAAGATATAATTTAGTAAGGATGACTGAAGATGTCAGCAGTGGGGATCGGGATCCTTGCCAGCAGACTGGACAGGGAATAGGCCAGGAAAAGAGAAAATGTGAAGGAGAAAGCAAGAAATAGTGCAACCCAATATGGTTTAGGGAGACAGGACGAGAGGAGCTGGTAAAGCACCAAAGGATGTGGGCTCTAATCTGAGCCAAGCCACATAACTCCTTTGTGACCTTAGGCCTTGGTGACTGACTTTGTTTCTTTCTTTAATCATTGTTTGTTTTCATTTAGGCTGTAAAACCTTGAGGACAAGGACTACTCTCTCTTTTTATAGCACCCAGAACTGATTTCAGGGCAGGCGTGGCTTCATTTGTCACAAATTTAAAAAACAGAATGGGCGGGAAGGTGCTGCTTGGATCAGTAGAAAGAAAAGTCATATTTCTGTGGAAGTGCTGTGTAGATATATGATTTTTTTTTTTTTTTTCTGGTGTCCCAGTTGTTTATTCTTGGACAGAGTGCTAAAAAAACAATACTAATATTTTGGCCATGAGTGTCAAAGTCAATTTTCATTGTGAGTGCCATAAAATGCTTAATGTATATTCAAGGCATGTGCCTTACAAGCAGACAGCCACAGATATTCCCAATCTGTAAATCAGCAAAACTCTTGGAGTTTTTTTTTTTTTTTTTTCCCAAGGAATTCCAGTGGAGTCTGTTCTGAGGTAAAAGAGCTTCTAAGAGCTTTTATTGGCCTGGGACTTCTTCCAGTGATGGGTGACCTGCAAACCTTTGGCTGAAAGAGGATGAGTAGCTGGAGCCTTGGAGAGCAAGGACTGGGCTCTTGAGATGAGATGGGTTCATACTCTGCACCTGGTTCATGAAGCCAAGCTGAGAATTTGTTCTTAAAAATGTCAAGAAAGGAAGGAGAAATTTCTTTTTCCCCTCCAGAGCGCAAGTGCACCTGGCCCATGGCATGCCTTTTGTTTGCCGAGAGGTCACTCCCCCAGGATGGATCAGCAAGGCAGCTTCAGAGCAACCAGAATAAACCTGGGGTTATTCTGTTTATTCTGAAACACCTGGGTGTCTGCAGACCTCCCACGCCAGCGCTGGGCCCTGGCCGCCCTTGGCTGTGCCGCACCGTGGAGGCTGCTCCTGCCTGGAATTTCCTGGCCGTCCTGTGGCTCCACAGCAGGGCACGGTGCCCTTTGGTGGCCACGACAGTCTCATCTTGCCTGTGAATGGAGCTGGGCTGGAGTGGGCAGGGGCAGTCCTGCTTGGCTGTCAGTTGTGAGACTCCCCAAATTTCGCCTGCTGCTCCCCGCTTGCCTCACCTGAGCTCTCAGTCCTGGCTGTTGGGTAAATTCTCCTGCTCATGTCAGACGTGTCCCAGCCTGTGATTCTTGATTAGTATCTGCTGATTGGAGAAATCTGCAGGGGTTACCAGTTCAGCTCACCTCTGTAGCTGAACAAGCTTTAAAGAGGGGAGATATTCAACTGTGAAGTTAAATAAATAGAGATGTTTTTAAAGAGAAGATAAAGCATGGAAGGAATTAGGCATCCAAAGAAACAGCTTGTCACTGGGGCATTGCACCTCTATGCTGCTGAGTTTTCTCTTCTTTCTGTAGCGCTTTTTGTTCTTTCTACATGCTTGTAAATGATATGTACAAGGATATTTTGTCTGAGGGCAAGTAAGCTGAATCATACATATAGTGAGGATAAAGTAGTACACACAAGTGTTGCAGTTACCTTAATAAAATAGCTTGAATCCTAAAATATTATTTTGATTTTAATTTAGAATATGACTTTGATTTTAAAATGGAGTAATAGCAGCTATGAGAATATAAAGCACACTAAGGCCCTTAGGAGTAGGTAGCTAGTATGGTGTGTGCCTTGAACACTATAAGAATCATTATGGACTCTGAATTAAAACAATAGGTACTGGTTATGGATCTTGAGTTGAAACAACAGGTACCAGAAGATACTGGGTTTGTTTTGGACGATCAGCCAAAGATGAAATGAGCATGCGCAAGGATGGAGTTCAATCAGCGGACACAGTGAGGAAGACTATCGATGAGCACCAGAGGAGCCCCGTCCAACATCACCACGCATGCGTTAGGGACATTTGCATATGATAATGACTTCCAGGAAATAACATGAATATGCTGATCATTACCCTCCCCTCATTCTATGCAAATCAATCAGTAAAGATGACCAATGATTTCTGTAGAATAGGAATAGAGGTAAGGTGAGGTAACTGACAGCCAATCACTATTAAAGTAAAACTAAAATTTATGAATTTTGTTGATCTTATGTAACCATGACTCTGCTGAAAAAGTGTATAAATATGTCGTGCTTTGTACCTGTTGGGGAACACGTCTTTGGTGGAGCTATCCCTCGTGTTCCCCAGTGCTGGAATAAAGAAGTGCCTGCTTATCTGCTGTGTGTAGATAAGTTCTATTCGCGACCACTAACACAAGGATGGTATTAGAGGTATTTCTGTCTTTAGCATGGGAGATACTTAGCATATTGCATTTTTATTCATTCCTTGTCTACATGGGGTAATAGTTGTGTTTTTAGTTTTTAAGCTTGCAGTGAATATGGAGAAAAAGTATTTGAGCAGTCAAAGACCATTTCACACATTTCCTAAGAGTTTTCAAAGTGCTCTTTGTTCACTGTGCTCAGAATAGTTAATATTTTATCTATCTGCACCATTTCCAGCTGAATCTTGTGAGATTCCCCTTAGCATTCTTCAGATGCATAGAACATCCTTCAGCTGGGAGGAGAGGGGGAATCAGCATGTGATATTTGCTCCTCTTGATCTTGTCATATCCTTTCTGCTCGGTGTTTTGCTAGGTTGTTTGGAGTCTCCCCCCAGAGACATCATGTTTACAGAGATGTGGCACAGATAGACTGTAGCTGGTGCTGTGCACACTCAGCACCAGTTGTGACTTCTCAGGTTGGCATTTCATCTTTCCATCTTGCTGCTGCTGCCTCGGTGCCGTGGCTGTTGGTTGCTGGCAGGTACTCGGTGGTGGTTCCCAGTCGTGCTTTGCTGTGGCTGACCTGCACCCTCCAGCACTCGGCTCACTGCAGCTGAGCATCGGGCTGCACGGGGAGCAATGGGCAATGCCTGCTTCTGCCAGCCCATGGCCTGGGCTGGGCAAGGGGAACAGTGAAAGCAAGGAGTACAAGTGGTGTGGAAACTTGTACTACACCAGGGTCAACCCAGGGAATCCAATACATTCAAGTGCTGCCAGTTGTAGTTGCTGAGAACAGTAGGGCTGGAGGGAAGGCAGAGGATGGGGGGCTCATCTTAGCATGACCAGCACTGCTTTGGAAGAGGAACAGTGTCCTCCCTTGTGCACAAGGGTTGTGGGAGGGTTTTACCATAGGCACAGTCAGGTATGGATATGTGTCAGGAGGGGCTTTTCAGGTCAGTCATTACTCTTGCACAACTCCTGACCACCAATAAGCAGAAGTAGAATGTAGCTGGTCGCTATGTGGAAATGTAACCCAGTTAGACAGGAGATGGGGACCAGCTCCTTGAGCTGCCCCTTGCAGGGGGATGACATGTGATGGGAAGGAGTGGGAGAGTGCCAGATACTTCCCCACCTCCAACCCTGCCATGACCTCCCACCTCTCTGCTGATGAAATCCTTCTTCTGCCATATGGTGCATGTCCTGTAAGCACATTTCCCTCCCACGCACACAAAGTGAGAAGATCAGCTGGGTGGTAATCCTGTGGTGTCAGAAGCTGTGGGAATGTCATGGCCTAAGGGGATGCTGCTCCTGTGTCCCTGGCTCCAGCCCACGACTGCAGAGGA